CTTGTTGGTGACGGTGAGGACTAATCAAGCATTTTTCGATTTCTATAGGGCCTGGATTAACTAAAGTTGGGTGCCATCAAACATGACATGCAATATAAATTAATGTCGGCTATCTAATACTATTAGAGTATTGATATTTTATAAGTTTTGACAATTGTACATCCTGACCGCATAGCGCAGTGGATTAGCGCGTTTGACTTCGGATCAAAAGGTCGTGGGTTCGACTCCCACTGTGGTCGAATAAATTGTAAATATTTTGTGAGTGGGCCTTTTTTATTTAAACTGGACCCATTAAAATAGCCATCCAGCCCACTCTTAACCATATATTCCTCGCAATGATTTATTATTATTTTTATATATATAATAATATCCCAATCTTCATGAAATCAAATTAGCCGACAAGTTATTAATTTAATGATAAAAAAATAAATTTTTGTTATTGTATAAGATTTAAAATTTAGAATTATAAGTATTAGAATTGGATAAATCATATCGATTTTGTCCTGAAAATAATTAATTATATCTTTAACATGGAATAAGAATATTCAAGAAACATAAAAAAAAATTACAACTTCATAGTCCATACTTTTTCTCTACTCAAGTTCACCCTTTCTTTTTGCTGTTGCAAAATCCAATCATTATAGAGCTTATGTTTGGATATCTAACAATCATGTCATGAGAACAAAAGGAACTTCATTTTGATATTTTAGTGACTTATTTCTACCATGGAACAAAAGAAAACCAATGGCTATTAAAGGACTGCTCCAACGCATCTAAGTGCGTTCTTATTTTTATCAATGACACATTCTCTTCCCACCAGAAGCATATCTTTCTATGTAATTCAATGCTCGAACTCAAGGTGAGTAAAGCTCAACGAGTTTTAACGATTGCCTGCAGATTAATTTACGTATAGAAAATCTTTTTTGTTTGAAAAATAAAAAATAAAAACGAAAATGATAACTAACGGACTGAAATATAATAAGGTTGCCCGCGCGTTAGTCCCCTCGATTTCCGGACAAATCACAGGCTGACTTGGTCCGACCACCGGCTAGACAACTGGCTCAAATAAAAAATAAAGCGACCGTCACCCACGAAATCCATGTCCCACCCGCCGGCATTCCATTCCATGTCACGTGTGATCTTTGCTCTTATTCCCTTCTAATATCCACAATCACAACTGTACGTTTTTTCTTTGCTCCTCGAAGCACAGATGTTACTGTCAATGATGACCAAAATATGCGCTCAAATCACTTTCACGGTGACCCCAGGTGGTGTGATCAGCGGAGTCGTCGAAGAGGTTGAGTAAGGACCTTGGAATTTTTGTGAAGGAAACATTTGGCCCAAGCTTTACGCCTTGAGCTAAAATCAGTACAAAGTTTATCCTTTAACTATTTATTTGGAGTCTGCTACAAGCTACTTATCTTTATTTGTCTTTCAATAGTACCAAGAAAATGTTTTTCATTTGCATTCACTTGTTGAGTTTTAAAACTTTACATTTTAGTCCGTTTGTCATCATTTAAAAAAAAAAAAATTAACACCTCTTTGGTTGGTTCTAGACATGAACCCGAACCCGAACCCGATCATGGACCAACTCCTAATAGACATGAACGAGGTTCTAGACTGACTTTTGGTCACCTTGGACCCTATCCAAGATAGAATCCCACGTGCATTGAACTATGTCCCAACTTGAACTTTAGGCACCCTAAACCTGGTCTCGTTCTGAATCTTGGGCGTCCCATATTAGGTATCAATTTAAATCTCGAGCTTTTTGAATTGAGTTTCCACTCGAACTCTTAGCATGATCCATATCCACTTCTCAACTTCCAAACCCCGACCTAATTCCCAAAATATGTAGTGATAAAAAAAAAAAAAAAAAAAGAACTAGAGATAAATAGAAGACATTAGGTATTAATTATATAAAGACAAATGGATATTTTTATAAAAAAAAAAAAAAACCCATGGCAATGGATTGAAACTTAATTATCTTTCGAAGATAGTTCTCTGAGATTACATTGATGATGGATTAACACAAGTGAAATTGAATGTTTAAACTCAAATCTGAAAAATTTTAAAATATTTATGGAATAATTAAAAATATTTATTTTATAAAATCACTTTGACGAGAGAGACAGATTAAAAAAAAACATCTAAATCCATAAAAAGTGATAAAAAATATTTCCACTTATAACTTTTTTTTTTTTTAATTCTCTCTTCTCTTTGTATCTATTTATATTTCTTTATCTTTTTTTTTTTTTTATATCTATCTCTCTTTAGTAGAATAAGTATTGTTAGTTACTTTATTAGTAGTATTGTTAATTATTTCACGAGTAATATAAAATTTCTCCTCAAAATTTAGTATAATTGTTGAGACAAAAGAAAAAAGCAATAACTTGTTCCCTTTTTTTTCATTTTATGAGTTCCGTCGCTTCACGACGTCAAACGGGACTCTAAAAAAATTCTAGATTTTCTAAGTTTTCGGAGATATGCATCTTATTTGCAAGGATTTCTAGGGATGCAAGTTATTATTGAGTTTGAAGTCGTTACCTAGTATTAAAGGAATTAAGAACCTAAAATAGCATCTGGTGCAAAAATTCTAGAGTAAAGAGTTGGTTACGTTTTGAGAAGACAACGGTTACCCAAAACGCCCTTTCCTAAGAAAGGTATCACATCTAGTTTAATCTTAAATTCATCTCCTAAAATATTTTATTTGTGCCAAGTTATTTTCGATTTAAAATCTAACTTTTCGAGCCAATTTAAATGTCGATGACTTCTCATTTGGTGGGAAATTGTCATGAATCCCTAAGAATTTAGGAGACTCGACAATTCTCTTATTTATTAACTCGTTAATCTAAATATAGACATTTTATAAAAAATCATCATCGGTCTCTAAGAATTTAGTAGACTCGACAATTCATCTATCTTTTGGTTACCTAAACTAATTATTGACACTAGCTCTTTTGTTTTGATTTTGATTTTTTATTTATATATATTTTTTATTTTTTATTTTTTAATAACAATAACAACAAAATAAAATGAAATTTTAATTACTAACTAAAACCATAAAAATACAACCTAATTTTTTTTGGTCATGACAAGTTCAACCTTCAGAGTTAGTATTCAGGAAAAAAATATATTATTCTAAATGTATTAAGTTGATTTGAAGACAGTCTTTGAAATTATTTAAAAATAAAATTTTATTTTGATTGATATGTAAAATAATTTGATGATATGGTTCCATGTAGATTGAAAAAAAAAACATGAAACTATGGGAATAAATTATAAATTAATCCCTCTAGTTTCAAGAAATAAATTAATTAGTTTTTTTTTAAAAAAAACTATCATTTAGTCTTTTAGACCATGCTTAATTTAATATTATTTTTATTCTATAAATTTTTTTATTTTTCTCATCAATCTTTTTCATATTTTTTTCTATTTCTATTTCTTAAAAAAAAATCAAAATAAATTAAAAAAGAGAAAAAAGATTAAATTACAAGTAGATTTCAAAATATGAGAACTAGATGATTACTTTTTGAAACAAAAAGGACTGGTTAATTCTTTTCAAAATAAGAGGGCTAATTTGTAATTTACTCAAACTAGAGAGATACGACTCGATCTTTACCACCGTTAATCACGCTTCATATTTCAAATTTAATTTACACAGCATCTGAAATAGGAATAATAATGGATATGAATGCAAAATATATAACACGTAATCAGCAGAGGAAATAACGATAAGACAACAAAAATTCAGAAAGGCAAGAAAACGAACTTTACAAGGAAAGACATTCGTCGTTTTCAATTGTTTTTGGAGCACAGCTATGGTGAATGATGTCAGAATATGTATCTTAAATCGTGCTTAGATTAAATTAATCATTTTTTTTTCTTTCCTTGCCCTTCCCCTCCACTTATCCTATTTTCAAGAAAGTAATAATCATAAATCAATTATACCTCCTTTTTTTTTTTTTCCAGCAACAAAAGTGTCCTCATTCTAACTTTTGTCCATCTTAAAATTAATATATATATTTTTTTAACATGATTAAAAAATACTTCTCAATATATGACTTCGGATATTCTAAAAATAAATTCTCAAAAATATTGAACATAAATATTTTAATTTTTACACATTTTAAGAATAATTTCTTTTTTAGCATGATTAAAAAACACTTTCCAACATATAATCTCGAATATTCTAAAAATAAATTCATAAAAATACTGAATATAAATATTAAATCTTAAATATAGCTTACAAGTCAACGTTTGTTTAACAATAATCTACTAACTTATAATTAATTATGCCTTCCTATGTTCATAATTCAACACAACAATCAATCTAACACATCATCGTAAAAATATATTGGACATCGTATTTTTTCTCTAAAATATAAAATTTATTATAAAAATAATTTATAGATATCGCCTTTATATAAGATTCAGAAAACTTGGGATATAATGATTAATTTTTAATTATTGACACCTTTTTTCTTTTTCTTTTTTCAGCCGACATAAAAAAAACCCCAAAAACAAAAGGGTACAAAAGCAAAACGCAAAACCCACCATTACCATCCAAGCAATTAAAGGCTATTTCGAAACAAGAATGAAGATTCGAATCTAAATCTTTTCTTCCGAACATTCCAAAATAAAATGCGAATCCGACGGTTGGAAAATTCTCAAAATGCCCCCACAGAAACCACAAATCCAACTTCATAACAGCATAATTCTTTAGCACATTAGCATCGTTCTACTACAAATTTTAACCCCACAAAAACATTTTCTTGCCAACTCACACACACAACCTTAACGCCAAAAGGCAATAATTACCTTCCTAGATCTCTCTCGCTCTTCGTCCCTCCATTTTTCTTTCTCTCAAGACCACCACCCTGTCCCCGCCGGGAAGGACCCTATTTTCCGGTGGAGGGAAAGAAGTTTGACCGTTAGGTTTTACTAGGTTTCTGTTACCTTTTCTTTTACCTACTTTTCAAATATTTTGAAAGTTGGTTGTCATGATGAAGGTGGCTCCTCCAAGGAAAGCATCATTTACTGAGGTTATACAAAGAGTTTATGGTAATTTTGGGTCCGCTAGTAGTAGTAATATCGGCAGCTATAATAGTAACAATCTACAAAAGCATAAGCATTATATTCATGAGAGTGAAGATGATTTTGAAGAGGAAGATGGGACCTTAGAACTGGTTCAAATTGGTGCTGAAAGAACCAAGAATGTTTTGATCCTTATGAGTGATACTGGTGGGGGTCATCGTGCTTCTGCTGAAGCCATTCGTGACGCTTTCAAGCTTGAATATGGTGATGAATACAGGGTATGTGATTTGGGGTTTGAGTTTGAGTTTGATTCTGTGTATAACGTGATTTTTTTTTGGTTTTTTGTGTTCCCTGATTTTGATCTTTTGATTCGCTTGTTAGAGGTTTTTTCTTTTGTTTTGTTTTTTTTTTTTTTTTAATGCATGTAAAGGTCGAGAAGGAAAGTGCAGATTTTGTCAATATGGTAGTTGCCATTTTGTTCTTCTTGGATTTATTCGTTTGTTGTTTTCTTTTTTCATCTTATTTTTCAATCATTTTCTTTTCATGGAAAATGATTAATTCGGTTATTTTCCCTTTCAATCAATTCCTCCTCTTTTCAAGGCCTTTTCCTTCTTTCTCTTCTTTTGTTTTAGTGGTGAAAATCTTTTCTGGGACTTGGAGAATTCCTCCGCTAAAAAAAGGCCTCTACTACCTGTCATTTTTTTTGTGATTATAATTTAAACTTAGAGGTAAACATTTCTGGTTTCAGATAATTGTGAAGGACGTTTGGAAAGAGTATACAGGTTGGCCATTGAATGATATGGAGGGTCAATACAAGTTCATGGTGAAACATGTACAGCTATGGAAGGTGGCATTTCACAGTACTTCTCCAAGATGGATACACTCCTGCTATCTTGCCGCTATCGCTGCCTACTATGCCAAGTAATTTTTTTCCCTCTATCTTTTTTTTGGTTTTCTCCTTGTTTTACTTGGAGATATTTTAACATGTTATGATAATTTATGCTAGCAAGTGGGTTGTAGTTTATAGTTTTAATTTACAGTTGTCATTTTAATTTTATGGATTAATACATTAGTTTGATCACTACAATATAATAAAGGTGGAATCTTTTGATTAATAAATGTTAAAGCTTTTACGGACTTGTTTATTCTTTCACGTCTTCAACTTTTGATTCGGCTTCTTCTTGAAAATGATTCTTATCAACACACAATGTTGATTACTGTTGAAGCTAAAATCATCTGTTTCTTGAGCTGGGAATGTGATTGGATGTTGGAAAGATCGGTGAATCCAATGTTTGTGTTCATAAGTTTAGTGGAACTTTTTTAATCTGATTCTGTTGTGTGATTGTAGGGAGGTGGAGGCTGGTCTAATGGAGTACAAACCAGATATAATTATCAGTGTTCACCCGTTGATGCAGCATATTCCTTTGTGGGTTCTGAAATGGCAAGGCTTGCAAAAGAAAGTGATTTTTGTTACAGTGATCACAGATCTCAATAGCTGCCATCCTACATGGTTAGTTAATTTAGTCATTTTGAAGATACATGTTTCATTTATTCCCCCCTTATCATAAATTGGTTATATATCTTAACAATGGAAATGTTGTCAGGTTTCATCCTGGGGTGAATAGATGCTATTGCTCATCAAAGGAGGTTGCCAAGAGGGCCGCATTAGATGGCTTAGAAGAGTCTCAAATCCGTGTTTTTGGCTTGCCGATCCGGCCATCTTTTGCTCGTGCAGTTCTCTTGAAGGTGTGCAATTGTGATCATACATTCACATACACACTTATGCTCTACTCGGATGGTCTGCTTAACTAACTCTGCTTGTTTTGTTTCTTGTCATATAGGATGAGTTAAGAGAAGAGCTTGAACTAGACCCTAGTTTGCCTGCAGTTTTACTGATGGGAGGCGGTGAAGGTATGGGTCCTGTTAAGAAAACTGCATTGGCTCTTGGAGAATCACTGTTTGACAAAGAACTTGGGAAACCACTTGGGCAATTGATCATCATTTGTGGCCGTAATAAGGTTCTTAAATCTACTTTGGAATCTTATGAATGGAGAATCCCAGTTAAGGTATTGGATTTTTTTTCTTGCATATGTAATATTTGAAGCATAGGATATACTTCATACACTCGGAAAAGTACGTATTGAACAATCTTATTACATGCCTAATCGCAGGTTAGAGGATTTGAGACACAGATGGAGAAATGGATGGGAGGTTGTGACTGCATAATTACAAAAGTATGCTTGAGATGCTTCAGTAACTAAATGAATCCTTGTCTATTAACTTAGTCTAATAGGTTTTACTCTTCTATGTTTCACAGGCTGGACCTGGTACAATTGCAGAAGCATTGATAAGGGGGCTTCCTATTATTCTTAACGACTACATTCCTGGACAAGTAAGCGATTGGCGTTCTGCACATTCACTTGACCAACTAATAGGCAAGATTTAGTTCTAATTTCATCTCATTTTTATCTCTTCACTTGTTAACTGCAGGAAAAGGGCAATGTTCCTTATGTTGTAGACAATGGAGCTGGTGTCTTCACCAGAAGTCCTAAAGAAACAGCAAGAATTGTTACAGAATGGTTTAGCACGAAAACAGATGAACTCAAAAGAATGTCAGAAAATGCCCTTCAGCTAGCCCAACCAGAGGCTGTATTTGACATTGTGAAGGACATTCACGAACTTGCACAAGCACGCGGTCCTCTTGCGAATATCCCTTACGTATTGACATCATCGTTCGCAAGCTTAATATGATCGATGAAACCTGCATTATCATTAACTATGACCGGGGTGTGTCAGCTCTATAACGAAATGTACAGCTAGTTCTAATAGTATCATTCTTTGTCTTTACGAGTCTTTGAAAACGAAAAATGGGGGTGTGAATTCTTTAAGAACATGCTTTGATGTTTGCAAAGCTTGTGATCCTCTTAGGGCATTTTTTCCGGAGGAGTTAGTGGTCTGGTGAAAGTCGATTGTGCTGTATTATTCTTTTCTCAATATTGCAGTGTTCTAGTTTTTAGGATATGTATCATGTTTCCCTCTTTAGCTTAACCTTGGCATTGATGATTGCTTGAAATATTTGTCCTGTAATCTTCAATCTCTATATATGCTTGACTAGGATGATGTTTTTTCTTCACAACAAAGATGTCTAGTTTGCTTGGCTTTGAATATAGCCTCTGCTATAAGATTACTTTAAACTTACAGAGTAGACAACAGATTGACTTGTACATTGATAATTTTTTTTCCCTCTTTAAATTATAAGGTTTTGAAAAAGAAATTTTATATAAATGTATTAGTTTAATGTGAAGATAAATGTCCAATTACTGATGAGAAGATATTTAATTTTAATATAAATATTGGTCCCAAGATATCCACCATATTTAAACAAAATTAAATTATTGTTAAATGCATTACATAATATCTTTCGAAATTAATAACAGGGCTGTGGAAGATTTGGACTAAGCCACCAACCAGGATGCAATTTGCACGTTAAGATTCTTTGCTTAAAATTTTAATTTAATTAAAATGTAAATATATCAATCTATATTTATATAATACTCAAAATCTTCTATTTATTGTTAAATTTTCAATTGCATTTTATCTGTTTTTAAAAAATTTTGAAACGTTCAATCTATCCTTACTATCAAATTTTTCGACCATGAGAATATTTTTAATTAAAATTTTCTTCGCTAAAATACTGAAAAAAAAACACATAACTTAAATGTTCTCTTTTAAAAGTTTTTAAAATTTTTTATTTTATTTTTTTCATTTCAATCATAAACATTTCGGTCAAAATTTTTTAATTTGATTAGAAAATTTATCAGAATGAAAAATTAAATATTTTAATTATTTTTTTAAAAAATAAAATATAATTATAGACTTAAAAAATACATAAAAAAAATTAATCAGGTGAATTAATTTTTAATTGATTCAAAGTTTAAAAGCCAAGCTGTGTTTGCTGGTGGTGGGTGTAGAGACAGAGTGGCAGAGTGTCATAACTCATAACCAACAAATAACAGTGTTGAGTGGTGACATGTAAGGCAAGCTTTAATTTTCAAATAAATTTCTCGGTCAACCAAGTTATCCATGGGAAAAACAATGACAAATATCTAATTACTGGTGGACCCATCATAATTCATTAGGATCCACTTGAATGCAAAAGCATCTTACTAATTTAATTGGATTTGTAGATGAATTCCCTTAATTGTGCTATTCTTGACAAAATATATTTATCACTCTTATATTTTATATTTAATGAGTAGACTTTTCAACATTCAAATTTTAGAGTGCAACACGTAAATAGAAAATAAATCCACCTCTTTATTTTAGTTATTAAAACATTCAGGATCATAATTTTATTTTATTCTTTTGTTCAACTAGAATTGTTAATGAATCGGATTTTAATCTCAATCCAATCCAAATTTTAGTTTTTATTGTCAATATTTTATAAAACAAATTATAAAAATTCAAAATTAGGTGAGGTTAAAAGTATTTATTAAAATTTTTTATATAATTTATAATTTTTTTATAGTATTTTATAAGAAAAAAAGTAAAAAAAAAGTTTAAGATTAGTGAAGTTAAAAACATTTTAATTTTTTTTTAAAAATATAATTAACATGCAGAACATCAAAATCATATTGTTTTGATATTTCAATTTAATGATTATATATAACGATAATTAAAAAATTAAATTAATTTTATTTAAAAATTAATACTCAAAGTCTTCAATTTATTGTTAAATTTTCAATTGCATTTTATCTCGTTTTTAAAAAGTTTTGAAACATTCAATCTGTCCTTATGATCAAATTTTTCGACCATGAGAATTTTTTTAACTAAAATTTTCTTTGCTAAAATACGGAAAAAAAAAACAACGTAAAATCATATAACTTACATTTTTTATTTTTAAAGTTTTTAGAATTTTTTATTTTATTTTTTTCATTTCAATCGAAGTATTTCAGTCAAAATTTTTTAATTTGATTAGAAAATTGATCATAATGACAAATTAAATATTTGAAATATTTTTTTAAAAAATAAAATATAATTATAGACTTAAAAAATACATAAAAAAAAATTAATCAGGTGAATTAATTTTTAATTGATTCAAAGTTTAAAAGCCAAGCTGTGTTTGCTTGTGGTGGGTGTAGAGACAGAGCGGCAGATTGTCATAACTCATAACCAACAAATAACAGTGTTGAGTGGTGACATGTAAGGCAAGCTATAATTTTCAAATAAATTTCTTGGTCAACCAAATTATCCATGGGAAAAACAATGACAAATATCTAATTACTGGTGGACCCATCATAATTGCAAAAGCATCTTACTAATTTAATTGGATTTGTAGATGAATTCCCTTAATTGTGCTAATCTTGACAAAATATGTTTATCACTCTTATATTTTATATTTAATGAGTAGACTTTTCAACATTCAAATTTTAGAGTGCAACACATGTATAGAAAATAAATCCACCTCTTTATTTTAGTTATTGAAAAATTCAGGATCATAATTTTTTTTCCCCACTAGAATTGTTAATGAATTGGATTTTAATCCCAATCCAATCCAAATTTTAGTTTTTATTGTCAATATTTTATTAAAAAAATTTAAAAATTCAAAACTAGGTGAGGTTAAAAATATTTATTAAATTTTTTATAATATTTTATAAGAAAAAAGGTTTAAAAAAGTTTAAGATTCGTGACGTTAAAAACATTTTAATTTTTTTAAAACAATATAATTAACAACAGAATATCAAAATAATATTGTTTTGATATTTTAATTTAACAATTATATATAATGATAATTAAAAAATTAAATTAATTTTACTTAAAAACTAATAGTTTAAAGTTAAAATTACTCGGCTTGCGATTAGGGGTGTTCATTCGGTTTTTCAGTTCGGTTAACCAAATTGGCTAAAACAAAAACCGAAACCGAACCGAATTGTTGTTCGGTTTTTCGGTTAAAAACCAAATTTTTTTGGTTTGATTTTTCGGTTAAAAACCGATTTTTTTTTTTTTTTTGCATTTTTCTTCTAAAAATCGAATTATTTTTCTTTTAAAAAATATCAAACTTACATAATCAAAGATTGCATATTTCACATTTGATTTTATAAGAAAATTATGTATGATTATTATTATTTTTCTATAATAAATATGTTTCTATTTATATTATAAACTAAATTAGTTAGGCTTCTCATTATTTTTTCAATCACGCTATAATTGGTTTTTTATTAATTTTTTATATTCTTTTTTTTAATCTATTTATTTTGTGCATATTTTATTGTTGAATATATAATATGAAAAATTCAATTTTTAATTTATGTTTGTGTCAATTTTAATACAAGGAGACAATTTTTTTTTTCATGAGGTTTTAGGATTCACCTATAAATTTGTGTTTTCATAAAGAATTTCTTTATCATAGTCTTTTTTTTTTTTTGTGAGTCAATATAATATAATCAATTATTTTTTATTTCAATAAATAATTAATGAAAAATATTTCTATTTTAAGTAGAAAAAAAATCATTAAAGCTATTGTTCTTTTAGTTAAACCCATAAGTGCCTATTTGTTTTTTTTTTTTTAAAAAAAAAGAGTTTGAGTATGTGTTTAAAAAAAAAAAAAAACTAATTCGGTTTTTGGTGGAAATCGAATTTGAAAAAAAAAACCGAATCGAACCAAAATAATTTAGGTTTTTTTTTTTAATTTTTTTTTAAAAAATCGAATCGAAATTGTTAATTCGATTTAGTATTTCAATTTTAACCGAATAATGAACACTCCTACTTACAATTAAATGAGATCCAAAAATATTTTTAAACTCATTTAATAGAAAGAGAGAGATAGAGAGAGAATATATTTTTTTATTTGAAGAGAGAGAGAGAAAGAAAAATGGAAATGGAGCCTAAGAGGACGATCCATTTTGTTATGTAACTAAGCTCTCGTTTCGGGTCCCAGCGGAAACGACAGCCCAGTCAAAAAGAGAAAAGAACGCAAACGACGGTGCGTTTTGATACACTCCTTTGCTTAAACTGTAAATCAAAGGCAAATCTCAACAACGTTAATCAAATTCCGACGACATATTCCTGCGAGACTGAAATTCTTCCGGTAATTTGACCGCTTCTATCTCATCTTTCCTCTTTTTAAGATTTCAAATCATGTGACTTTCGTTTTTTTTTTTTTGTTCTTTGTTTCCTTTTGTTTCTTTCCCAGTGAAAATATGTTATTTTGTATCCTAGCCTTTACTATAATTTGCAATATTAGCACTCTAATGCATCAATTCAGCTCTGAAAATTTGTAAATTTAATGTCTTGCTTCCAATTGTTTTCAGGGCTACGCTTATTTGGCTGAAATACTGCAAAAGTTCGAACATTTGAGCCTTGGAATTGAAAATGGTATGCGAATCAAATCTCAAATCTAGCTTTTCCTTTATTTGTCATCTTTGCTTTTTCATTTTAAGAAAAATGATATGAATTATTGATTGGACATGTAAGATTTATTTGTACTATCGGGGTAGAGGCAGGTTTAGTTGAAATCAAAAGAGCAGATACGGTAAAGTTTGTGGCTTTAGGTTAATGGGAAAAACTTGGTTGTCATCATAATTGGGTTTGCTTTGAAACTAATGACGGTATTCGCGTTCTTAGAAGTTTACTTGCTCTATTTATTTTATGTAGTTATATTGGTAATAGTCAAATGTGAATTGACTTTCTGTTTATAGATGAAATTTGAAAGATGGTTTTTCATGGTTAGGTTCATCACTCTAGTTTCGTGGATGAGGAGGGAGTGAGAAGAGCTTGTGGCTGCCCTTTGCTTCCGTTGAAAAGTCATATAAGGGGTCCTGCACCAGTTTCAGATCAAGGTTCTACAAACAAACAATTTACTTTGATCATTCAATGACTGTTGGAGTGTTTTTATTTTCTTGCATTCATTGTGTGGAAACTGGGATGTGTTTTATGCAGATAGAACTGATATAGTTGATGAAGCAATCACATTCTTTCGCGCCAATGTTTTCTTCAGAAATTTTGATATTCAGAGCCCAGCAGATAAGCTCCTTATTTACTTAACATTCTACATCAATGTGGCTTTGAAGAGGCTTGAGGGTTGTAGAACTTTGGCTGAAGGAACTAAGGCAATCATTAACTTGGGTTTGGAAAAGGTTCCTGTGCCTGGAGAGTCTGGTTTTCCTTTTCCTGGCCTTTTTTCGGATCCTAAATCTCAGAAGGAAGCAGGTAAATTTTCTTTTTTATGGTTTTTTCTTTTCCTGGAGTTAAATTTTTGTAACAGATTTTACATTATGAGCAAGTTTACTTAGTTATGTTCTTAAAACTATATGAAATACGAACCAAGTTGTAGATAACCTAAATTATCCATAAGCAAAGTTATTTGCTTGCTTCATTATAAGTATATATTCATGAAGCATTAAAATGCACTAGTAATGTCTTCAAACTAAATTATGTTTAACCTCTGATGTTAATCAAGCAGACTGCCATAACCCTGCTAGTAATTTGAATTATGTCTCAGTTTGTGACTGAATTATAGGGATCACGAGGTTAATTTCATTTATATTTTCAGCTATTAGTAAGGCACAGGCTTTACTGCCCTTTACTTTTGCTCTTCACTACTGTCCTTCTCCTGATGAAAAATTTGTGTGACAAACTTTGTTATTCACATTTCAAACCTTGGAGATTTTGTCATTTTCCTCTCATTCTTCATATTTGCTTGGCAGATAATCTTTGTCGTGGCTTTATTTTCTATCAAATAGTTCTTTGTTATATCAATACTATCACTAGGGAAGTTTAATGTCCTTCAGCCTGATGATATTGTATTATTTCAATGGTATTAACTCTAAGCATGCAAGTTGAGAAACGCCATAGTAAGTAACATTCCATAGTTTTCAGTTGGGTGCAAGCTCTCCTGCTATGGCTCACTTCACTAACTCTTCTACAGAATTGTTGATTTGAACCCATAATTCTGAAATGTTGGACATGTCAAGTTTGGTTTTGAATGTTAATTTGATTGGACTATGATTGTGAGTGCCTTGCTAGTTTTTATTCCTAAACTTTTGTTTATTTATGCTTTTGAATTTTAAAATGCAGAACTCTTCAGAAATTATCTTAAACAGATAAGGGAGGAAACAAGTGGGAGATTGTTGAGTGTTGCATATAGACCCAATGGGACTCCAAACAAATGGTGGTTGGCATTTGCCAAGAGGAAATTCATGAATATCATTGCTCTTTGAATATTTTGTTCATATATTCAACCAAAGGTGAAAAATAGAAGCCTTGCAACAATTTGTGAATAGTCTTGGTTGCCAAGTTAAATATGAATAACAATGCCTTCAAACCAAGGCATCATACATGTTTTGTGTGCTAATGACTGATATTGCTGTATAATTGTAAGATGAAGTTTCTATTCGTACTATCTTCATTTTCTGAAAGGAAGAGAAGAGAAGGGAATGTTAATAATAGGGGTTTATTGCTTCGAGAATTGACCTGTGTCCATCTTATAAATATCTGTGGCATGATTGCTACACTTATGCATCTCATGCTTGCATCAATTACATGATTGATTTCCCATAGTTAAGCTTTTCTAATTCTTCGTCGGAAGGAAGCAATAATGTTTGTATAATTGAGTTTCTACGGATTGAATATTGAAAATTTATATCCCTCAATATCAGCCAGACGTCTTATTTCTCACCATTAAAGTTAACTTTGCTTCACTTGAGACATCTTCAATGAAAGATTTCTCCTCTTCAAACATGCAAAAAGATGTAAAGTAACAAGATTATGAGACACCTCAATTTGGCAAGAGCAACATTTATGTAAGCATGGACAGGTTCCAGTAGTTGTTGCACTTGCACCAATTATGGCACGGGAAGCTTGGTAGCCCCTTCCCATGGCAGATCACGGCCTTGAAGACCTTGACTAAAAGTTCAAAACTGTCCCGTTTAGTCTGGTGGCTTGAGCTTCAAAATCTTAGAACTTTGATACGTTATTAGGGAAGAGGTATTTCAAGACCAATGCCTTCGGATTTCTCTAAAAACATCAGAGAAGCCACCCATTATCCCTTGTACTTCAGATGCGCCGCTGTCACATGCCTCCTTCATTACTGGCAGGTCTCTGGTTTCTGTCAAATTTAGTCGTCTTTTTATTTTTTTCAAAAAGTACAAATGAATAATACTGGTGGGGCAAGCGTCAAGAAAACATCAAGACCAATCTGCCAAGACCTTACCAAAAGTAGAAAGTCTAAACATGTGGGGATACAGAGTTGCTGTAAAAGGGAAGAAACGTGATTGCTGTGGAAGTAGAAAGAATAAACAAGTGGGGATATGTACGTACATGAGTATATATATCTTTTTGTGTGTGTGAGTGTTGAAATTGAAGCTCATTTTTGGTAAAGAAGCACTTAGAATCTCCCCATTAGAGCCATACTACTTAAGCCGTCCTATTCGCAGAGGTCATTTTAACATTATCCTTTGCAGTAGGTGCTCGATGACCTGCCTACTATTTGGAATTGGGTATTGATAGAGAAACTGCATATCCCTCGACAGGGAAAAAAAAAACATGTATTCTGCAATTCTTGTTTTGCCAGAAACATTTTACAATCGGGAAATAAAGAAAATGCTGTCTATATATAACATTATGTGACTTGCACTTTAGCTTAGCAGTGGCACACCAAGAAAGTCTTGCTATGGTTTTTGGGAATGGGTCATCGACAACATGATTGTTAATATGGGTGCTTAGGTGACATATACTATTTGCTTTGATGATATATAGCGTGGCAATACCTATTATGAAAAAAACTTTACATCCGGTTTGATTGGTTTAAGTGAAAGAAACTCTAATAAATTAAATAAGTGATTTTGAATTCGAATCTTTTTATGCATTAAAAACTCTTTGAATAATTATTTTTTGAATCTTTAGGTCTGGAATAGCTCAAACGATGAAAAAAAAATAAAAAATTGAAGGCTTTGCCTTTTGTTTGAGAGGATATATCAAGATGCCTTCTCTGGACTAAGAGGCATCATCAGACATGCCTGCAAGTTCGGAATCGGATTGACATGCTGACACAGTAGTGTACCTCAATTTTCCAAGCCCCATTCTCCAACCAAGCTAAATGTTTCAAGATCAAAATGGACCGAATATTTTCTTTCTTTATTTATTATTATGTTTTATTTTAGATATTTTATTTTATCCTCATTGTATATATATATATATATGTTTGAAGTTTATTAAGAGATTCATATTTGTTGTGGAGTCATATTTATTTAAAAATTTATATTTAATTTGAATGTGATTAACTAGTTCTTATTAACCTAGATTGGATTTAAGTTATTAAGTCCAAATAGGTTTAGGGTTTTATTTTTTCTTATTAGCCGAATTTTATAAATAGTATTTAATCAATTTTTACGTAATATAGACATGAATTATGGAATAAATTTGTGAGAATGCTCCAATTGCGTATCTTTGTGCTTGTAGTATTTTATTATTATTTTTTTAATCATTTGACTTATCATCGATCATCATCGAGCTGGTGAATTATGTTGGATTAGATGAAAAAGATGGATTATCAGATTACAAATGAGAAATTAAAAAAAAAAAAAAAGGAAATTCCAAAACCAACACAGAATCAGATCTCATTTCCCAAAAAAAAAAAAAAAAAACCAACTTTACCAAACCGAGCTCTCAGTCTCACTCCCTCTACCTCTCCCTCGCCAACTAACACACAAGATCGTCGTCATCATCCTCATGAGTCTCCATGTTCCCTCACTCCCATACAACTAATCACAACCTTTAATCTCCCTCTCCCATGTCCTTCAAATCCAGCTTCCCCAATATCAACTACAATCGCCACCACAAATCTCAGATCACCCTCCTCCATGTCACCAAAAATCAATCACAACCACCAAAGCAACGGTGAAAATACTACCCCTCCACCTTGTCCTCACCTCGCCGATTTCCGTTCCCGTAACGGCACCAAACCCTTCCACCTCCTCCAAAACTGCCTCCGCATCAAACCACCTCACGGTCGCGCCTCGATCCGCCGCGATCCCTCCGAACTCCCTCGCTGCGGCGCGTGCGGAGTCTCCTCTGTCCCCTGCCTCTACGCTTGCATAACCTGCGCTACAATATCGTGTCACGCTCCGCCGGAACCTTCTCATGCGGCGGCTCATGCTGCCGCCATGGCTTCCGGTCACGAGATCGCCGTCGATGTCGACCGCGCAGAGCTGTTCTGCTGCGCGTGTCGCGATTATGTCTATGATCGCGATTTCGACGCGGCGGTGGTGTTATCTTCTGAGATGAATAATATTGATAGTAATGTTAATATCGATAGTCTCCGTAAAAGGCGAAGGGTTCTTGAGTTCCGGCCGTGGGTTCCGGATATCCGGGAACGCATGCTGGCGAATAGTAATTCGAGTGTGTTGAATTTTGTTGGGGATCGGCCGTGTGGGTTGAGAGGGTTGAATAATTTAGGGAATACGTGTTTTATGAATTCGGTATTGCAGGCATTGCTTCATACGCCTCCGTTGAGGAATTATTTTTTGAGTGATAGACATAATAGGTATTATTGTCAACAACAAAAGAAGAGCAATGAGAATGGGGTTGTTGGTGGAAAGAGAAGTAATGCGGCCGGTAGTGGTGATGGTAATGGGGGTAAGGGTTTGAGGTTGTGTTTGGCATGTGATATGGATGCTATGTTTTCTGCTGTTTTTTCGGGGGATCCCTCACCTTATAGTCCTGCGAAGTTTTTGTATAGGTATTGAACATTTTGCAATTTTTACTTGTTTTTGAGTAAAGTTGGTAGCTTTTTTTGTGTTTGAGATGTGGTGTGGGTTTTTGATAGTGAAATTATTGTAGTATGGTACATTATATAGGGACTAATCTCTGTTTCGAGATTGTAGTTTTCTACATTATGTGGAAATGTAAATACAGTATATGCACTTGTTTTGCTCCTGATCTGTTTTTTTTTTTATTCTGGGTGGTGGTTTTTGAATTTTAATTGTGAGATTTTTGTTTGTAGTGATTGGTTTGGTTTGTTTTGTTGCAGTTGGTGGCAACATGCAGCTAACTTGGCAAGTTACGAACAGCAGGATGCCCATGAGTTTTTCATTTCCATGCTTGATGGGATCCATGAAAAGGTGGAGAAGGATCGACACAAGCCCCACAGTCAAGGTAAAAAGATTCTCTTTTTCTGCAGCTTTTCTGCTGAATTAGCTATGCTTGTTATTTAACATTTAGTTAATATGAGGATTTGTATGATTGTATGATAATTTTAGTTTGAGATTACAGCCTCGTTGGACAATCTAGTTTTGTATTACTTATAGATTAGAACCTTGTTGGAGAATTTTGTTTTGTTAGGAACCATTTCAATCTGACGAGACATTAAAGCTTAGATTACCACATTATCGTTAGTTCTTGGAGGATTGTCATATGTTGCGAACTGTTAGTTTTAAGTCAATTTTATGTTGGTCAACTGAGGATGGATATTCTTTATGACGTTTACATGATATTAGTATGTAAGCGGCAAATCTCTTTGGGACATATGCAAAAGATCATTTGAGGGGTTAAGGGCACATTCTCTAAGTCATTTTAATTGAGGCACATGAGTGAGTGGCTATTAGACCATGGAGTGTGAATAAAACTTGATAACATTGCTAAAGCTGCAAGATCATCAACCTAGAGCGTTGTAAGCTGTTGATGACCTTCTCTTTTTTGTGTTTGGTAATTTTCTTCAGTCAAATTGGTCCAAAATATTGTTAAAGACTAAGTTATCGCAGCTTTTAACTGCAGGATGTGGGCTTAGGTCTCTTTACTATTGCCCTAGGAGTTGAACAAGTGCTCTCAGATTTAGGGCTAATTCTCAACATCAACCTGCTGGCTTGATGGTGTCATCTGCTTCGTTCCAGTAAGTCAACTTTTTCTTAGCCTGCTTGGTTGATCGTAGGATTTTCTCACCTGCCATAATACTCATCTTAATTCAACCTTTGTCCTTACTAGGGTCTTGTCTCTCATCGCAAATCTCATCCCAGTCCAAGAAGAGGCAGGTTGTTGCATTAGGTTCAAATCCAGCCTACAATTCCCACCTATACTTAGAAAACTTACAGGCCTATGCTGGTTGCAAATGAAATTTCTTCTGAAATCTTCTTGCTTTGATGAAGATATCAGATTGCTGTCTGATCTAGGTGCATTTCTCTGGTTTTAGTATTGTAGTCTAAGCTTCAATAATCTCTTTTGTCTTCTTGTTCTCTAGGTAACTGAGCTTCATGTGTCCTCTTCCTGTTGTTTCTAGTTGCACTTTTTTCTGATAGGCCACAAAGAGTATTATTGAAAGTGATATGATATAAAAAAAATAGGAGTTTTGAGGTGTGTTTTGCATGTTCTTGAATCTTCCTTTGGGCACATTTTGTTAACTGAATAAGCGGAGATTATGAATTATCAGTTTAGGATGGTGGAAGCAGGAAGATATCCAAGATCAACCATTTTTTGTTCCTCTGTAAAGGAGCATTATGTTTATAACTGATCCATGCTGTGTTTTTTAATGTGATATGCATTCTATTCCGAACACATTTGTTGCTGCTATTTCTTGTCATGTCTTATCTTTTTTATTGTTTTATAACCCCCTGTTTTCGGAAGTGCAGGTCATGGAGATTGTTGCATTGCCCACAGAGTATTTTCTGGTATCTTGCGATCTGATGTCATGTGTACAGCTTGTGGTTTCACATCTACAACATATGACCCATGTGTGGACATTTCTCTGGACTTGGAACCGCACCAAGGGAGTTCTGGAAAGGCTGTGTCCTCAAAGACTCATTCTTGCAATGGTGAGGCTGATTGCGTGAATTCAGGCCAGAATGGTGGGATATCTACGCTGATGGGATGTTTGGACCGATTTACTAGACCTGAGAGATTGGGCTCTGACCAGAAATTCTTCTGCCAACAGTGTCAGGTGAGGCAGGAATCTCTCAAACAGATGTCTATAAGAAAGCTTCCACTTGTTTCTTGCTTCCACATCAAAAGATTCGAGCATTCTTCCATACGTAAAATGTCGAGGAAGGTTGACCGTTATCTGCAATTCCCTTTTTCATTGGACATGTCACCTTATCTTTCTTCTTCTATCTTGAGGAGTCGATTTGGAAATAGAATTTTCCCATTTGATGGAGATGAGCCAGATGCTTCAAATGAAATGTCGTCTGAGTTTGAGCTGTTTGCTGTTGTCACTCACACAGGTAAACTTGATGCTGGTCACTATGTGACTTATTTGCGCTTAAGTAATCAGTGGTACAAGTGTGATGATTCTTGGATCACTCAAGTCAATGAGAACATTGTAAGGGCTGCACAAGGATACATGATGTTTTATGTACAGAAGATGCTTTATTACAAAGCAGGCGAGAAACAAGTTGGCCAGTGATATAATGGGATATTGCGTATTGATGGTTAAATCGAGTTTGCTGGACAAAGTAATCAATGAGTCATGGTTCGATGGAGAATTCTGCATCCATGAGATCCCATGGCCAGTTTTCTTTACCAAAAAAACTTGATATGACTGAATTGCTTTTCACATCATAAATGAAGATAAGATCAAGCATCAATTTTCTTTCTGAGCACTCCAGATGGTAATTTATTATACTCGGTAGCAACAAAAAGCCAGCCTGAGTTTTTGAGGCATTTGAAAGTTCATCCATTCAGGAATATTATTTTTATGAAGGTATGGATTCCTCGAAGTTGATTCTTGATTTGATTACTTTCCCCCCAAGTTTTTTCTGCTCGTTCAAGTATTGTTGATAGGTCGGTTCTCTTTTTTCTCGTGAATCCTCAGAAATTGCAATGCTTGGGAGTGTAGTTCATGGGTGAGCTAATGCTTACTTACGAGGTGTATCCTAGTTCATACTTGCTTCTGCCTTTTGGGTAATTTATATTTCTTAAACATAATGGAAAGAGCATATGTCACACAGGTCCAAGAAATGTTCTATCCACCCTTCTTCTTTTTTAATGATTTCCGTAGACTGATGATCTTCTCTGTACCATTCCAATGGTTTCACCATTGCTTCCTTTATAGCCAGACCCAGACAGGAAGTTTGTTAGCTAGATGGTGTAACCATTTCAAGAAAATTGAAACATATAGTAATTCAGAACAAGTAGCGGATGCCATTAAAAAGATGTTGAAGTTTCTCTTCAATGAGGAATTTTATTCCCAGCCTTGCTAATCTTTCATATTTAGATATAACCGGTCTGCTAAAGTTCAATCCAAGACTTCTCTTTTGCGCTCTATGTTGTTGTATACAATAAAACAAGGATTTTTTCGAAAGATGAATGCTGAATATTAAGAAAAAATAAAAACAAGAAAATTCATGAACCGTAACGTTTACAGGACCTATCATTTGATAAGATCGTTATAGAATGAGTTTTTATTTTATTTTTAAATTATCCTATCTACACGTTAAATGGATATGGAATTGTAATAATTAAAATATTTTTTTGCACAATTAACTAATTACTTAACCTAATGTCCAAAACAAGATAAGTACTTGTAACATTTTTCTTATAATGTTCTCGTGAGAGATTACTAGATGCTCATGATGTAATGTTCTTTGACTTCCATAAAAGATAAAGAGTTACTATAGTAAATCCTATGTTTATATAAGTGGAAAAAAATATGATACAGAGATTACCTAAAAATTTCCCTGGTTTCATGTAAATAGCCGTTAGAAGGCGATCCATATTTTGAAAAGTGGGCAAAAAGCCCAACTTACAAAGACGAACCTGGACCTAACCTAATATTTTGCATTCGAAGAAAACCCAAGATTTGGTCCCGAAAAATAAAGGTAAAAGCCGTTATGTCTATGCTAATGTTTTTCTCGCCTGAAATTCATGAAATCGAAGAATAATAGTTTCATCGTTTTCTATCATTTCTCTTTATTCACAAAATCAGAAAAATAAGAAAAAAACAGGGCTTTGTTTGTCTCTGTGTGTGTATCATCAATCTCTGTCTTATCTATAATCTCTCTTTCTCAGCCTCTCACCTCTCCTTCCCACTTTCTCGTCACCTCCAAATCCAAGAAAACACACGCCTTTATTAACTGATTCCAATTGGGTTCTTGATTTAGACCCAGAATTTCAAAACCCAGTTGTCTGATATTTGTTGAGCTATCTCTCTTTTCCTTTCTCTTTCAGTCTTGTATTAGGGTTCGAGAACTGTTGTTTATCACTTTGGACGGATTTGGGTAAATCTCTGAAGTCATTTCAGGTTCTTGATTGCTTAGTTTTCTTGTTGAACAGTTGAAATTACGTCTGAAGATGGTACCTTTTTGAGTTCTTGCAGGTAGAATGAAGGTTGTTAGAGATTGGGTTTTTGGTCAGTTAATGTCCAAGTCTTTGGCTTCAACTAGACCTATGTCAGGTAGTGGCGGTTTCTTTAGTGAGGAGCGTGTTAATGAAGAATCTGATGACCCAGGTGCTTATTTTTCCTCTTTGGTTAATCTTGCCATGAACTTTGTTGTTTTTTTAGTCATAATTTTGTCTGTCTTTTATTATGTGTTCAGTTGGCATTCAGTTGTATAATTACTTTTCTTAGATGGATGGTTTGCTTAACGGAGAAATGGTTTTGTCAGTTAGGTACTAGAACTATGAGTTTTCTTGTTGAACTGAGAATTACTTTGCGATTTTAGATACTGTTGGTAATTGTGTTAGGAATTCCATGATATGAATTTCCTTGCTGAAATGAGAACTGCCCAAGATGTTTGTTTGGCCGCTCATGCTAGTTACCTTTGTAAAATTTTGGGGAGGGGGTGTTTATAGCTCTACTAATCAAAGCAACTAACGTTTGTTTCTTAGATTCTGGTCCTATAGATTTGAATGATGTTTGGCTTGGTTTGGGGATCTACATATCAAGGATCATGAATTGTCGCTGCCAGTTTTAATCGTTGATGCAGAGCTGGTAAATAGTTAAGAATCTTCTGGAGCATTTGGTTTTAGTTACTGTAGTAATTTAGTATGCAGTAATAAGCTATCTTGCTCCGTACCAGTTTGAAAACATTTGGGTAGGGTTTTCATTTTACTTTTGAGTGAATATGACATCTATCATGGTAGCATTTTCTACATGGCGTATGGACAATACTTGTCATATCATATTATATTGTGTGTTGACAAAGCAAAAGAAATTGTTTTAATGCTGGGAGCTGAGATTCCATCTGAGTTTGAAATTGTTTTATGTTTGCCCATCCGATTTTAACTTTTATGTTGATTTTCATTCAGCAAGAGTTTATATGCTTGTTACTATTTGCAGCTCACATGGCCCAGTTAGAGTCTTCATCACCAACTTCTGATATTTCACACTCTTCTAACAGCAATCAGGAAACTGGGTCTCCTCAATCTCTGCAGGAAGTGGCAGAAGATTCTTACCAGTCAAATCGTGGGGTTGAGGTAAAGAAAGCTGACCCATTGACCAGGATTGAGGATCTTCGAATTAACTTCTTCCGTCTTCTTCTAAGGTTTGGGCATTCACATGACAATCTTCTGGTGGCAAAGGTTTTACATAGATTGCACCTGGCAGCTGCAATACGAGCAGGGGAATCAAATTTGGAAAGAGTTAAAGTTGATAGAGCTAGAGCTGTAGCAGCAAAACAAGAGGCATCTGGAATACCCGAATTGAACTTCTCTCTTAGAATACTTGTGTTGGGTAAAACAGGGGTTGGAAAGAGTGCAACTATAAATTCTGTATTTGATCAAACAAAGGCTCTGACTGATGCGTTTCGACCAGCCACTAATCGCATCCAAGAGGTTGTGGGGTCTATCAATGGGGTCAAAGTAACATTTATTGACACCCCTGGTTTTTTACCTTCTTCTACAAGTAATTTGAGAAGAAATAGGAAGATTATGCTTTCTGTTCAGAGATTCATTAGAAAATCACCACCAGACTTTGTTCTATTCTTCGAACGCCTTGACCTCATCAACATGAATTACAGTGACTTCCCCCTTCTGAAGCTTATGACTGAAGTCTTTGGCAATGCCTTTTGGTTTAACACCATCCTTGTCATGACTCATGGTTCCTCAACTCCTGAAGGGCCTAGTGGATATCCTATTAGCTATGAATCATATGTGACTCAATGCACAGATTTGATGCAACATTATATAAATAAGGCGGTGTCCGACTCAAAACTTGAAAACCCAGTAGTTTCAGTGGAGAACAATCCTCACTGTAAGAAGAACTTCATGGGGGAAAGTGTTCTTCCCAATGGACAAGTATGGAAATCTCATTTCTTATTATTATGCCTATGTACCAAAGTTCTTGGTGATGCCAATACCCTCTTGGAATTCAAAGGCAGCATTGGATTGGGGCCATTGATTACCCCTCGGGTGCCTTCTCTGCCCCATCTTCTCTCATCTAGTCTAAAGCATCGCTCTATAACAAACCGGAGTGAAGGGGAACAAGATGTTGATGAGATTTTACTTTCAGATGCAGATGAGGAAGATGACTATGATCAACTACCTCCAATCCGAATCCTGACAAAATCACAGTTTGACAAGTTGACTAAATCACAGAAAAAAGACTACCTTGACGAGCTGGATTATCGGGAAACACTATATTTGAAAAAACAGTTAAAAGAAGATTCTCGGAGGCAGAGGGAGAGGAGGCTTTCCGACGAGGAAAATTTTGGAGAGGATGATAATTCTGATCACCAGCAGGCCTCTCCTGAGGCCGTTTTGTTGCCTGATATGGCAGTCCCTCCAAGTTTTGACTCAGATTGCACCTTACACAGGTATCAGTGCCTTGTCACAAGTGACCAGTGGCTTGTGAGACCTGTTCTTGATCCTCACGGATGGGATCATGATGTGGGCTTTGATGGTGTGAGCTTGGAGACAGCTATAGAAATAAGACGGAATGTCTATGCCTCAATCACAGGACAGATGAACAAGGACAAGCAGGATTTCAGTATTCAGTCTAAGTGTGCTGCAGCTTATGCAGATCCTAGGGGCCGAACTTATTCTGTAGGTCTTGATGTTCAGTCTTCTGGCAAAAGTATGATCTATACAGTTCATAGCAACACAAAGGTGAAGAATCTGAAGCACAATGTCACTGAATGTGGGGTTTCCTTGACATCCTTTGGGAACAAGTACTATGTTGGTACCAAGCTTGAAGACACCCTATTGGTTGGGAAGCGACTCAAGTTCGTTTTGAATGCTGGCCAAATGAGGGGCCTTGAACAAGTGGCATACGGTGGAACTTTTGAGGCGACGTTACGAGGGGGAGACTACCCTGTGAGGGATGATAGAATCAGTCTGTCAATGTCAGCCCTCTCCTTTAAGAAGGAGATGGTGCTGGGCGGAGGTTTTCAGTCTGAGTTTAGACCAATCCGAGGCATGAGAATGGCTGTTAATGCCAATTTAAATAGCCAGAACATGGGACAAGTTAATATAAAGATTAGCAGCTCTGAGCACATTGAAATTGCTCTCATTGCTGTTTTCTCTATTGTCAAGGCCGTTTTGCATAAGAAAGTGACTGACAACAAAAGCAGGGAAGTATTGGAGATGCGATGAGTCTTTGCTGTCCTCTTTTGAGCATGATTTTCTTTGTTCGGGGACGGAACCATTGCCAGTAAGCAATTTATTTACTTAACTAAGTTGCAAATCGTCATTCCACTTGAAGAAGAAGATGAAGAGCTAAGTTTTGCAGAGGTTGTTCTATTTTTATTTTTTTTCCGGCAATTTTTGGGTAAATTATAAATTAGTCTCTTTAGTTTTTCAAAAGGAATTAAATAGTCCCTCTAGTTTCAATAACCAAATAATTAGTTTCTAAATAAATTTATCTGTAACTTAATGCTTTTAATTTTTTAAATTTATTCTGTTTAAATAAATAGGAAAAAAAAGGTAAAAATTGTGGAAAGATTAATGAGAAAATGAGACTTTTTTAAAAAAAATAAAATAACATTATATTACTCATAGTTAATACGGATTAATTAATTAGTTTTTTGAAATAAGAGGGGTTATTTAAAATGTTTTGCAAAAAAGAGGGGCTATTTAAAATGTTTTGCATAAATAGAGGGACTAATTTATAATTAACTCGCAATTTTTTTTTTATACATCTTTGCAGGAGACTAGATAGTGATATTTTCTTTTTCCATGTTACTCAATAGTATACAACCGACAGAGAGCTTTGTAACAAGAAGTGAATTGTTGTTATATTTGTACAGGAAATTGGAAAATGAGTACTTACATTATGATCCAGGGAATGAATTTAAGTGTTTTGGAATTGATATTGAACGTTTTAATCATGTTTCTCGATTGATTAACATGCAATGATTGATCAGTTGACTGCCCTAACCGGTCTTCCAGAAAGAACTCCAAATTTCCACCACAACCTAAAACTTGGTCCACTAAAAACTGACCACTTGCTGGTCCTTTTTTAGATTTGCCGTGTGTCAAAAATTTTCCCTGAAAATGAGAGTCGGACACAGGTATCTTCTTTAGTTGCATCCGATCTGCACTTGGTGGTGAGGGGATCCACACCGTAATTTTAAATAACGAATAATTAGAAGTTTTAAATCACGAACAGTCTGAATGGTCTAAAACATGATTGTTATCGTAAGTCATAATTTATTATAATATTAAAATAATAATAAAAAAATATTACATAACAGTTATAGATTATTATATAATGTAACGATAGTATTTAAAAAATTTTAAAATATGATCCATACCAACTTTCGGAGTCCACCAGTCCAAGTGTCGAAAACTGCATTGAACTGCAATATCTCCGGTGGATGTAAGACAACTTTGGCTATCAATTAGTCCACATCTGTCGCCCTCTTTCTTTTGCCTCTCGGTTCTGACGTCCTAACAGTCATACTAATCTAATGCAGGGACCCTATCTCGGCGAAAATGACTAGCATTAAGGTGGCTTTTGAATGACCATAATTTTAACCATTATCTATCAGCTGTCTGTCAGCACACCAGCTAGCATCTTTCTCCCCAAATTCATCCTATCACCCATACTTTTAAGGTGGTAGAAGTTTTCAATAATAGCTAGGGATTAAATTCTACAACTTAATATCACCTCCAATACTTTTTTATATTAATATTTTTTTTATTATAAAAAAATTTGGTTAAAATTTCATCTTCAATACTCTCTTTATCACAATTTTTATCTTTAAAATTAAGATACAAGGTGTCTTTAATTCTTCAATACTAGAGAGTCCAAATAATTTTTTATCTTATATTTCATTAATGAAAATTATTATTTTCTATGTTCACTCAACCTCTTCACCAATAATCTTTTTGGATTTTATGAATTTTATCAAAATAAAAAATTAAAATAAAAAATAACATCAAAAAAGACATTGATTTCATCAATAATTCTTTTATTTTTATGAATTTTATCAAAATAAAAAATAATATTAGAGAAAATATTAATTTTCAATATATATAATTAAGGATGCTTTTTGTTTACATTCAAAATACTAACTAAATATAAATAGCAAGGTTAGAGAATACCCTTAAATAAAAGGTTTAAGACAGGCTGATCATCTCCGTCGTGAATATTGAAAAAGTTTCTGACACCCTTAAATAATTGTCCTTTGTTTTTTGCAAATTCGTATTGGGAAATGGGAATGTGGTGACTTCCTGCAAAATGTAGATATTGTGATAACAATCATTGTATCCTGTGAATTATTTGGTATCATGATGACTCTTGAGTTCTATAAGATGGCGGTGGACAATTCCCTACCTGTACGCATCCGAGGAAAAGTGGTCTTGTCCAAATGCTTGCGAATGCTGCTTTTGGGCATAGATTGGCCACACAGTACGTGATGACGACAGCGGGGTTTGGCATTTTAACAGAAGAGAAATGCCTGTTACTAAATTTGACAGTATATGCATCAAAGAATCTAGCTCGGCATGTATCACTGGGGTTCAACTTTACGAACTCCATTAGTTGTTTAACCTGGCTCATTTATCACTACGTTCGCATATGATTCTGTTCTTATCAGGAAAGAAAAGAATAGTACAAAACAAAACAAAAATGACAGACCTGTATGGACCTGTCTTTTCAGTTTTCAAAAACTGTTTCAAAACTTCCAATTGATACGATAAATTCTCACATAAATAATACGCAATGTTGTACTTGCAAGATTGTTGTCTTCCATTTTCAATATATATATAGAACACATAAAGATGCGGTGGTTTCACAAAATCTTCCTATAAAGAAGTGGGATGCCTTGGATTAATTATATATTTACTGTCCTTTTTATGTTTTATCCCTCTTGAAGATCAGGGAAGGAAAAAAAAACTCTCTTCCCCCATTTTCTGTCTCATGCACGTGCAGAGTCAAATACATACTACATATCTTAATCTGGAATTCCTAAATTGTGTCGGATATATATATATATATTGTGCGTGTGAACAATGAAAGAACACAAACTGGATTCTTCAAGCCAACAGTATATGCCAGTCCTGAGCCTCCAAAACGTAAAAGCTAAATTTTAAAGTAGCAACTCATCCACATGAGCTCTGAAACTATATAATAATAATAATGTCGCTTGATCCAAAAAATCTCCCACAGATTTCTGGCATCCTCCAACCAATCTCTTTACAGTATTATTTCTCAAAAAGCAACGCACACACCATAGAAAACTTGTCTGATTAAAAAGAAAGAAGGAAAAGATTTGTAACAAATACTCTAGTTTGATCAATGAAATTTCTCCATTCATCGGAAAAGAAGAAAATATATATATTAAATTGACACCCAATTCATGAATCCAACATCCCATTTTATCCAACAATTTCTTTACATGCATGGACACAAGGTTTTATTACAGCCAAACAAAATTTCTATCCAATCGCTAAACCATATCAAAAAATTTATTATCTTTCCAATTTCTTGCTAATCCAAACTTGTTTATTACACAATTTTAAGGTGAAGACCCCCAAAGAACTTCAGCTATAATTGTAGCAGCCTCAGCATCAGAAGCACAAACTTCCCTTACTCTCTTCAGTATCTCTTGCTTAAATGCCCTCCTCTCTCTTTGCCTTAGCCCTTCTCCTACCTCTAATTGAACTGCAAATCTTGCCACACAACCTGCAAATGGATGACTCTCTAAAAGCCTCTTCTCTCCTTCACCATTCTCTCTCTCATGATCTAACATTCCCATATTAATCAAATCCCCACGTTCTAATCTTTGCAACTCCACTAGCTTCTTTATCAACCCTTCTTTAAGCATAGCTTCAATTGCCTCTTTTCGGCCGAAATAGCCAATTTCAAGAATGCAATCCATTGCTACGACTCTAAAATGCAAGTCTTTGTAGTCCAAGAAGCTAATGATTTTTGGGATTTCGCCATTAGATTCAATCTCATCAACAAGTGGTGATTTTATCGACTTAATTAGTAAACAAAGTACTTTGATTGATTTCCAAGAAGCCATTGAGACAAGACCATGAATCAAACGACCCATCAGCACTTGACCAACAAAAACATCCTTGTTGAATTTAATCAAAGCTGAAACAACAAAAGCACACTGTTCTCTTACCTTTTTTGAGCAACTGGGATCACATACAATTTTCTCAAGTAAACAAAAAATCTTTGATTTAAGCACCAAGTCTTGTAACTCACGATTAAACCCTTGTGAAACTCGTTCTTCAAACTGACTCAACAAACTCACCAACTCATCTTCCTCGGTTTGCGACGGCTCTTTCAAACCTTTCATCAAACTCTCTATACTTTCACGATCAATCCAAGCTTGAATCTCCATCTCTATCGACCCAGCAACTCGGGAGATAGCCTGAGTCGAGACTCGGCGAGTCAAGAAACTCCGAAGTCCGTGCCCACAGCTTTGCTCTAGAGTGGCAACAAGGGATTTGAGGGTAGCAAGGTGTTGAGAAAGGGTAGAGAGATGTGGGTCTTTGGAAAGAATTGTATCTGATTCAGTCTCGAGCTCTAACAGAGCTTTAACGGCAGGCGAGTTGGACTCGGCCGAATCGAGACTCGGGTGTGTTTGCAACTCATGAGAAGCTTGTTTTAGCACTTCTAGGACTTTAAGAACTCGTGTGATCTCTGCTTTCGATGATGGGTCTTCCATCATTTCAGCGCTGGTTCGGTTTCTAGAGAGAGACTGGATCCTTTTATGTATATTTTGAGAGAGAGAGAAAAGCGAATGAATTCTAAGTGAAGTTAGAGATTTAAATGAATGTACGGGAAGTTTTAAGCTTCAACGACCAGTCATAGGCTTTGCAGAGGTTTGGGTTTGTGTAAGATTTACTACAAATCATGCAAGACTGCCACACGGTTTTTCCCGTGTGTGTATGAATACGTATACATTCGTCAATTTTGTGGGTTCCATAAATTGACGTTAACCCACAAATTGACGTGTCAATTACCATATATGCCCTTCTTCTTTTTTTGGGTACATATATAATATAATTTTGATCTGTCGCTGTATGTCCTTGTGTCTGTCATTGTATATGCCTTTGTATGTGTCTTTGTATAATGGAATGATTTTTCAATCTGTACTTGTATGAGTAAGTTTTCAATTTGTACTTTTTGTAAACTTTCCTAATCAAATCACCTAAAAATGTCATATAATTTGCAGATGATTTTTTTTTTTTTTGACAAATTCTCATCACAGTTTAACATGTTAAATTTTCTATATGTTTTTATGCAATGGGTTGAGTTTTTAATCTGTCATTAATGCTAAAGTATCTATTATATTATTGTTAATTATTTTTTTAATAATGTGTTATACTATAATGATTTTTTTAATTAAAAATATATAAAAATAACTAGTAAATGTTAGAATGTAAGTGTCTAATAAATTATCATGATGACAATAATATAAAGGACTCTTGGACATTAAAAATATATTAAATGATAATTTCTTAAATACTTACATACTAACATGTACTAATTATTTTTATTTTTTTTAATTAACAAAACAAATCGCTATAGTACACATTATTAAAAAAGGTGTTTTACATATATCGAGACTCTATACAATTTGAATTTTTTTATTGAAACTCGTTTTTTTTTTAATCCAATTTAAGAATTTTACTCTTATGTTATTGTTGTTTCGGATCTTAATGTGCTAGCAAGCACATATAAACGCTCTAGCTAATGACAGACTTGCTACATGTCATGATGAGCCTAAATCATGTGATTGAATTAGTGACGTGGCAAGTTGTCATTGATTAGAACACACACGTAGTAAGTTGTCAATGATTAGAATATGAAACAATAACAAAATAAAAGTAGAAATATTAAATTAGATATGAAAAAAAATTATGATTTCAATTTAAAAAATTCGAATTTTATTGGTCTCAATGTGTGTAAAATCCATTAGAAAAATTATTAGCAATAACATAATGAACACTTTAGACAAATTGGAAACTCAATGCACTTTATAAAGATAAATTAGAAACTTAATATGTTAAAATGTGATGGGTATTTTTATCAAAAAAAATATTATGTGTATGTCATGTGATATTTTTAAATGATTTAGCCAAAAAGTTAATTGGAAGAACAAATTATAAACTCATTAAAATAATAAAAATATAATTAACTCATTCTAGAATATAACAACAGATTAAAAATTCAACCAATTTAAATAAGGACAAATAAGACTATTAACTCTTGATTTTTTTATTTTTTTGGTTAATTAGTTTTTTCAATTTGAAGATACAAGTAGTGGTAGTTGTTGTGTGGGAAAGAGAGACCAAAAAAATACGAAACCATAATGCTTAGTAACTAAGGTTTGCTAGTGATTCGTGTAATCTGCATAGTGATTCGTGTAATTTGTTGACTATGGATACTGTTAAATTTTGATTCGAAAAAAATAATAATTTATGGATTGTTTGTTTGTACCGTGATCAACAGAGGTTTGGACCACATATTAATTACTGGGTATTTTTATGTGAGATTTTATTAATTAATGGGAATTTGACAATTTATTATGAAAGTGGATTTGATAGTGGTTTTTTTTATAATTATCATTATTGAATCACTTTTCGTGCATTCATATTTTAACTAAGATTTCCGTATCCAAAATAATGTATTTATGATAAAGGTTGTCTTTTTTTTTTTATTTGAATTCTCAGATCAGGATGATAATATAATGACTTATAGAATAAATCTACTTATCATATAAAAAGCCTCACCTTTAAAAAAATTTATTATATAATCCAAAAGAATTGAAAAAATTTGAATTCTTACATGAAAAAATTCTTTAAATAATTATGTCAATATTGCGTATCCGATAAAATAGCGAAGGGTTAGCCTATATTTTTAGACTTGAGATACTTTAGAGATTAAAAAAAAAAGAAGAAGTTTATCATATAAAAAGTATTTGTTAGCTACAAAACCATAGCTTAGTGCAAGTAACTGACTAATTATTTATTTATTGTAAACTAAATTTCCGTCAAAATAATTAATTAAGCCTCATTGACACTAATTAACAAATTTGACCACGTAATTTAGAAAAAATTGAGAAAATGCAAATGGCAATTGGTAGTTAGCAAAGCATTCGGATCTAATATCCAGTCCATGGTATCAGAACCATGTTGAGTACAAAAACTGTTTTCCTTTTTGTTATTTTCTCCTTTTTTTCTTTTTTTTTTTGCACTTCTTCCTTTACTTTATTGAATAATTTATTGTAATTTGTTTATGTGGGGTCTGAGTTATTATATTTGATGTCCTCCATGGATGAAAGAAAAAACTCAAAAACCCCCACACAATTTATGTTAGTTGGACATGGTTTGGAGCCTTGCGAAGGAAAAGAAAAACTCAAAAACAGGCTTTGTCAATGCTAGATAGCGAGACGCGGCCTCTTTTTTTTTTTTTTTTTTTGGGAGTAAATTATAAATTAGTCCTCCTTGTTTAAAGAAATGAATTAAGTAATCTCTTTTCTTTTAAAAACTAATTATTTGATTTTTTACATTTTAATTCTATCAATAACTTAGTCTCGTTCATCAGTTTTCCATTAAAATAGTGATTTATTCTTAAATTGTCATATGTTTTTTATCAAGGAGAGAAAAAATGGATGAAGAAGAGAAATAAAGCATTGAAGGAAGGACAATTTGAAAAGAAAAAAAAATCACTAATATATACATCTATTAAATGAGAGCATGCCTTTTAGGTCAAACTAGTTTTTTACCCGCACTACGTTGTGGATTCGGACAAAAATAATTTTAAAAAATAATTTTAATTTGATGGTATGTATTATATTATTAGTTACTACAATATATTAAATAAAAGATAAAAACAAAACTATTATTTTTTTTAAATTCTTTGTTTAACAAAATATTTATTATGTTTTTTATAAATTTTTGCTAAAAACATCACAATTTATTCTTTTACATTCAAATTCTTAATTGATAACTTGTAATAAAAAATTTAAAATTCATGGACTCTTAACTAAAAAATTTTCTTATAATTTTTTTCAAAAAAAAATCTAAGAAAAATTATTTAAAAAATAATTTTAATCTTATTTTGTAAAAAAAAAAATGATAGATATATTATCATTTAAGATTAAAAAAAAAATCCATCATGTAAATTATATTAATTTTTTTAAAAAAAGTAAATAACAATATTCTAAAAAATTATTAAAAATTCGTAGATAGATTTCTCTCTCCTCCCTCATCTCTCTTCGTTTTCTCTCCTCTTAGCAATTAGTAACCAGATTACGAGTATAAATAAAGTTGCAAATCGAAATAAAATTATTAAAAAAATGAGGGACCAAAAACCAACATAGCAAAACTTTACGTATAGAATGCTTAAAAAAAAAACCCTCAAAATTAGTAGTTGAAGGTAAAAAGTAATGTATGCGGAATAAATGCATAAAAAACTTAAAATAAAAAAAATGTTGTGAGTGTGTGAATAGTCTCAAAATAATAAAAACCCCACCTCTTTCTTTTAGGGTTCTTTGTAATTTTTTTTTTTTTTGGCTAAAATATATCAAGAACTCCTAGGATTAAAAAAAAATTATTAAACCATACAAATTAAGGATATATATATATACTTATTTAGAAGGATTATTATTATTATTATTTTACTTATTTAGTAAATAAGTTAAAAAAAAAAATCCTTAATTTGTATGGAATCAATCAAGCCTAACTCTTTCCTTCCCCCTCTTTTTCGGATTGGACTGAAATCAACCTTGCCCAATCACACACGGGTTGGGCTTAGCCTAACCCAAAAACACAAACAAAACCCTCATTTTTCTCTTTTTTCATCCGATTGCTCTCCCTCTTACTTATTCTTCCTTCCTCGCTTTCTTCTTCCTCTCTCTCTCTGCCTTCCATGGACGAACCATCAATGGTTTGTCCCTTTTTTCTTTTTGTCCTTTTTTTTTGCCTTTCTTCTTCTTATTCCTCTATCTCAACCTCATCTCTTTCTTTTTCTCTTCTTCTTCCCAATCCATGGAAGAAACGAACCGAGAGATTTCCGGTCATTCTTTCCTTCTTTCTCTCTCAATCCTTCTTTCCCTGTCACCCTATTAATCTCCCTCTTCCAATTAAATCAAAATCCCAAATTGAAATTTTTTTTCAATTTGAACGAACCCTAAGTTTTTGATTTTTCAATTTTTCCATTCAAATGGCCTTAATTGGCTTAATTTCTCTTGAGATCAAGCTAATTCAAACCTAAATGAGTAATTATTTTTAAAAAACTCCTAATTTTTATTATTGTTGAAGATCTCGGAACCCTACGTTTCAATCTCATTCAATTCAAATTCAATTCATGGTTTAAACACTCGAATTGAAACTCCAATTAAGTTCCATTAGCCTTCATTTCTATTATTCAATCTCAATTTCAATCCACAACAAAAATCTCCAAATCCTAAAACCCTAACTGTCAAGAACCCTAAATTCTCAAAAATTCCAATTTAATTTTTAAATTCAAACCCTCTATTTAGTTAAACAAATACAAATGTATGTGTGTGTGAGTGTAGAGGAGGAAATTCGAGTTGATGATGATGATGGAGAGGTGCTACCGCTTCAACAATCGGGTAAAAATTCCTCTCTCTTTCGTTTTTTTTCTATTTTTTTATTTGATTTTAATTTTCGGAGCAGATTCCCTCCTTTTTTTTTTTTT